ATCCGAAAATCTCAACAAATACAATCTAAAATTATAAAACACATTTATAATATTTTATTTAAAGAATATGTTATGAGGGTAAAATATTAATGAGAGTATAAAGGAGTCAGACAATTGATAAAAAGAAAGAATTTACAAACAATTACAGTCATAAGACCAAATTGAATAAAATGTAAAGCTAAGGGATTAAATTAAAAAAGCATATTTTAGTAAAAAAATAGGAATTGAAGTTACATAGATTCTATAGTGGTATAAAAGCATGTGGTTCAAATTTTGTTAAAAACGAACTTAAAACAAAGGATAAATTGAAGAAATAAAGAAATCATAAAAAATTAAGGGACTAAATTGAAAAATAGAAAAAATTATCAAAAAGATGAATTAGAAGTATATAGGTATTCTAAGATGATTTATGAGAATGTGGTTCAAATTTGATAGAAATATAAACTTAAAATGAAGAAGAATTAAAGGAATAAGAAAATTATGAACTAAATGGTAAAACTATCAAAATATTCAGCCAGATTCTTAACTTTTTTAAGTGGCTTAAAATTTTAAAATTTAAATTCGATTTAAACTAAAAAATGTATTCAATAATTTGAATGTAATCAAATCGTTAAATCTCTAAATTCTAAATCCCCGGGCCAAAACTACTTGTTACACCATAAGTCCTCGATCGGAGCTCGAGAAAGACGGTCACGTTAATAAAAAGGTAGCGAGAATTGAGAACCGCAGACACACGAACCTGTAAGAAGCCATTCGTGGCAGTTGCAAATGGAAAGAGAAAGGATCTTTACGTAGCCTGTTATTACACTGTATTACCGACCAAAGCATTTTCTGCACCGGCTTTTTTGTGGTGCTGGTAGCCAAGCCTCCTCTCTCTAGAGACATAAATCACTCGGGGAAGTTCATTTACTTCGATGTCACAGGCACCGCTATTATCAGAGGAAAACCTGAAACATGCGAGGGTGATCACGCGTGTTATTTCCCGACCAAGGAGTTCCGTCTTGCATTGTCCATCCTTCTTTTGGTGTTTTCTTAGCCTTTGCAACTAAAGCATTAATTCTGATTTTGGTATTAGGCCCTATCATGTTCCAAGAAGTGTAGCCAAAGAAAGCTTCAGGGACTTTCATTGCTCTACGTTCTTTCACGAAAGATGGTTGTATTTTGTCCTTCAAGTAATCCATCTTCTGCGAGAAGTAAAACTCCGGTGCCCGTGGTTCTATGCTGAAGAAAACTATGAATTGCATCTCTTGTTGCTCTCTATATGTGGTGTTTCAATGGAGCATAGAGTTGCGGAGAGAAATGGAAAGGATTTGGGAGCTTGTAGTTGACATTTCCCCGTCGTGAAGTGGTCGACAACAAAGAGCAACCAAGAGACGGTAGATGACAGCACCGATGGCCGCGGCAGTGGGTGGAAGTTAGGGTTTCTTATTTGCAATTTTAAAAGAAATTGATTTAAAAATAATAATAATATTTTTAAGTTTTTTAAATAATTTTTTAAAAGAAAATAAAAATACAAGTATACAACACATATCAGATAATATTTATTTATAACGATCGTTATGACAGACACTTAAAAGAATAACGACAGAAACATTAAGTACCAACTTTAAACAAAAAATACTTTAAGCACCTAAAATGAATAAAGAGTATAGTTTGAATATTTATTTTTCATTAAACTTTAAAATTTTAAAAGCGGGTAATTTAGATAAGATCTTAAAAAATAATTAAATAATCAAAATAAAATCATAAAAATTATTGCACAACTAAATATATAATTTTCTCCAAATAATAATACGCAAATGAATATTAAAGTCCATATCCAAGTTCAGTTACATCCATTATCCCACATAAAATTCAAATCAGACCCTAAACCCACCAATTTTAAAGGCCGAACTAACCCAAAGACCCAAATCACAACAACCCAAGCCTGAATCTGATAACTTGATTTTTATAATTTTAAATTAAATTTATTTTTCCAATGATTATATATGAAATGATTAGGATATCAGTTTCTTTGTCAACTGTTAATAGTATGCGACTTGGTTGGCAACGTGTAAACAGTTAACTGGTTAGATTAATAAGAATAAAATACTGATGGTTAAAAATAAAATCTTCCATAATTAAATAGTTATGGTTGTAGTTTACTCTTAAATTTTATACTGAATAAATAAATAAAGACCGAAATGGACCAGTTCTCAAAATAGTGGGCCCTTAATTTCATCACACGATCTAGTAGGGTATCATGTTCTGTATTTGTAATTTTTTTTCGAAAGAAGAGAAAAGTAGTTTGTCTGATGACAGAGGTAAAGGGAAAAAAAGTGGTTCAGAGTTCACATGAGCCCAAGACTATCACGGGCCAACTGTCTGACCCCACCTAAGCCCAATGATCGACGTTGACCTGCTTCACATATATAGAGGGTCCAGATTTAATCTCATCTTCGGTGGCAGATGAATATCCAATAGTATTCTAACACGTGGTGTGAGGGATCAGTCGTAAGTTTGATAACACGTGTCTGGCGTGGCCCCATCCCTTGTGGCGATGGTGGGGAGACTGTAAAGTCATCAACGGGAGCCATGCGATGTCTCAGAATCGGACCACTCCACGGCCCACGCCACACCACACCACACACCCAGAATTTCTTCTCTATTTAAATTAAAAAGTTAATCTATTTTATAGAATTGTTTTTCAAATATAGAGTGAAACAAAATCTTTAACCACTAACAATAAATATTCATATCATGATATACATAGTGTACTAATTTGAAACCTTAAAAGATAATAATAAATTTTTTAACTATTAAGAACGTTTAATTCATGCAACGATTTAAAGTTTAAATATAAAGATTAAAATTTATTTTTTAAAATATAACAACTCTTAATATATTTAAAACGTTAATAATTTTGTGAATATAAGAAATTTATTTTTATTATTAGACTATAATATTTACTTTTCATATATTTCTTATTTATTCTGTCCCATTAAATTTATGTATTTTGAATTTTAAAATTTTTCTATCCAAAATAAACTACTAGAAAAGTTAACATATAACGCCACTTAATAATATTAAATTTTTGAATCACTTGTTGAGGATTATTTTGTTATTTTTCTTATTTTATATGATTTGACATGTAATTAAATTTATCTTTTAAAATTACGTGTTTGATTAACATAAAACAAAAAAAATAAGACATGTTCAGTATTTTATTTTATTTTTCTTATTAATTCTTTTAAAGAAAAAATCAATTAAGACAATCGATAAATTAAAATGATACCGAAAGGACAGTTCAAGAGTGTTAATCATTCATTGACTGTAACCGACTCCCGAATCTGACATATTTTTGTAAATGTAGATAAGGTAAGATGGTAAATTAAGGTGTCCGATCAACCTAATTTTTATTTTTTATTTTTAAAAATAAATGATCGGTGGCGTTGTAACGTGTTTTATTTAGTCGTAGCCCAATTCTGAACCCACCCGAAGGACGGTTATGTCAAGAATAAAATATGTATTTTTAAATTAAAATGAAATATATAATTTGAAGTTAATATAAGAATAAATAATATTTAATAATTTAAGGCACAAATATAATATATTTAGTAGTTTAAATTAAGAATATAATATATGCAAAAAGTTAAGATAAAAGTAAAATATATTTTTAAAATTTAAGATAATAATAAAATATATTTTTTAAGTTAAGGTAGAATAAAATATATTTTATAAGCTAAGATAATAAATAGATAGATAGTAGATAAATATAAGTACTTGAAATCATAGATGTACCCAAAGAATCATTAGAGATAGTCGTATAGTTTAAAGAAATTAATTTCTCAAATATTTTTTTATTCATGATTTAATTTTATACTTTTTAAAATTTTATAGTTTTAAATCTTTAAATAAATCATTTCTAAGCGCTGGAAATTGTATTTAAGGGACCACGTCACAGGTCATGTTGTTGGTTGCTTGCCAGTAACCGCTTGATATATATATTATGAATTTATTCGAATGTAAACATTATTTACCAACAAACATCTAGTCTGTAATTCTGATACTCTAAACTAATTAAAAATTTAACTCAGATACCACAATTTTTTATTATTAAAAAAAGCACACTTAGTTTATAACTTTTATTAGTATAAAGGCTTAGACTTTATCCAACACTCTGTTACTTTTTTCCTAAAGCGAAAAATTAGTACTTAAGATTTGAATCAATTCTCCTTTTATCAATTTTTTTGTTAAAGTATTTCTCAAGTCCTTTTGTTATAGATACTATATCAATTTAGTCCTTTAATACTAAACAAATGGATTTAGATCCTCTATTATAGAGATTGATTTAAATTCTTCATACTATTAAATGAAACAATTTAATCTATGTACTAGTCAAATGAATTAAATAAGACAATTATTTTTATATATTTTACACTTACTATTTAATTTTTTTAATATTATAATTCAACTATGAGAAAAGGATTTCATTTGTAGAATTGTAAAAGCTATAAAAATATTAACTCCAGTAAACAATAAATGTTAGTTTTGTAAAGAAGAAATTGGCTTTATTTCGTTCTTTTTCCTGGTACAAGAATTATATTGATCTATTTAATAATATAGATATTAATTTAAACTAATCCTTATAATAAAGAAAATATTTTAGATCAGTCTATATAATATAAGGGCTAATTGATTCATTTGATAATAAAAGACTAAGTTGGTGTAATCTCTATAATTTATAGAGGGACATGATAAGTACTTTGATCACAAATTTCTTATATTATCATATGAAAAAAATTAAATATATAATTATATCAATTGAATTTTAATTTGATTTATATGATGCCACAATGCTGTATTTTTATTCAAATATCTATATATAAAATATTTATTAATTTATTAACGTTAATGTCAAATACATATATAGTAGCAAATGCAAATTCTCCTATTAGATAATTGTATTGTAGAAGACTAGAAGGTGAAACAACAGCTCTACCTTCAGGCAAACTTAAGCCCAAAAGGCTCTCATTTTCAATCAGCTATAATATCTCTTCTCCAACCACTCTCCTTGAGCCTTGAAGGGCAAAGAGCATTTGTTTTAGAAGCACAAGTTTTGGTGCATATTAGTATATAAAGCAAACGCGTGAACCTGCAGAAAGAAGAATACTCTGCTTCAACTCAACTCTCAACTTCAATCGGTGTTTTGTTGATGCATGTCGTAATGGAGAATACTATGTACATTCATGGGAATGGATATATATATACTCAGTCCTGATGTTTACAAGTGGTTTTCTTGATTCTGCTGCTTATAAGCTTGGTGGGTTTTATTAATGGGTGATGAATATCATTGGCAAACGGTTCCACCCACGGTGGCTCCGTTGAATTTAGAGAGGGAAGAACACTGGAGACGTTTTGACAACTCGGTGAATGCGGTTTCTTTTGGGTTTGTAGCCACCGCGATTCTCATATCAATGTTCCTCGTTATGGCTATCTTTGAGAGGTTTCTCAGGCCAGCTTCATTCTCCTCCAATGGTGCAACCCCTAATGATCTTGAGTCTCAAGCTATGTTCAATGCCAAGCTTAATTACCCTTCTCCCAAAGTAAGCTCTCTCTCTCTCTCTCTCTCTCTGAAACTTCAATCTTTTTTTTTTGGGGTTCAATTCAAGTATAGAAATTTTCCATAAGATTTTTCTTGGTGTACAGAAGGAAATGGAATGAGTGATCCAGAATTACACATAGTATTTGTTTCTTGCAATTTGTTTTTTTATTTTATTTTAAAAAATCTGTTTAGTACAGGTTAATGAGTGGACTTGGCAGCATGATTGTGACTATTCTTTTGCTGTCTTTTTGTGTGTGTGTAATTATAGCTAATTTGGTGCATCAGTTTGACTGGTCATTATGCACACACTGCCATTGTTGCATGAAAATAAATCCAATTGATTACTAGACAGCCTACACTATTGCCATCATAAATTAGTGCTTTTCTTCTTTTATCTCCCTTATTATCCTTTCAACATTTCTTCATGTCTCTAATTCACACATAATTTCATTGTGGACACAACTTTCTTTTGGTTTGTTTGGGGACAAAATCTCTTTTCCTATGACAAAAAGGTTGGTAGCAAAGGACCCATCTTCTATATGTATACAGGCCACCCAATTTACAGAGTTCTGCATGACCTTTTTTGTTTTTACCAAATGAGTCATAGTTTAAACCTTTAATCTATGTTTTTCTTTTTTTCTTTAAATGAAGGACAGCCAACAATAATTGCAATTTTTATAACATAGATACACAGATAAGCATTATATATATGTTGTCTATATGGATTCATTAGGGGTAAGGGGAGCATCATCCATCACCGGCATGTGATTTTTGTCTCAAATGTCACACTTAATGACCGGCAGACTTTAAATGTTGCCTAACTTTTGTTTTATTTCTATAATCATTTTGACTTCTTTGAGCTTCCATCCAATCAAGTGTGCAAATAGAGGTCAAAATGAATAAATATCCCCTTTAGATCTTCACAGGAACCAGCAACAAAATCTTGCTTAAACCTTTTTTTAAATGCCACTTCCTCATATATTGTCGTTTTGCATTAAGTGCATAGCCATTCCATGCTGAATTGTTGGTTGGATGCAAGTTTTTTGGCTAAAACTATTGGCCAACATCATCACCTGATGTGTTAACTAAACTGAAGCATTGAATAATGCTAGCATTTTGTGCTGTGGGTTTTCCATTTTGTATGATCAAAGCATGGCACGCCTTCATATGTCCCTTCTCTCTCGTTTCTTTAGTTTAATGACATATCGTCTTAGCTTTGCTTCCCACTTGGCTAGTCCATCACTTGTGACTATTTTTCAATGTGATCCGGTTGTTAGAACCCCTTGATTTGAGAGAAAATGTGGAAAAAAATTCAGACAATGGTTTTATTTATTAGTGGGGAATTGTGTTGGCTCCATTATTTTATATGCTATGCTTGTATCCCAAGAATGCCCCAAACTCATCCTTTTGTCTCTTCTGAGGTTTTCAACTGCATTGGTTAATGAAAGAACAATATAATATTCTTGTATCTGCTCTAACCTCCTACGTAAGTCATACTTCTGCTATCATTCCTCCATTTATCGAATTTTAAAGCCTATAGAGTTCCTCGAAGTTTTCTGAATTTCATATTCTTTGGCCAACTATAATTTATTGACATGATCACAGTTTCACGTGATATACCAGTTAAATATACTATCTGACAACCAAATCTATTTATCCGTCTCAACTTACAAATAGTCGTCATCACCCTAGGCTTGACACCAAACTGAAAGCATGTATAAAAATCACTATGCAAGGTTGGAAAAATGGACTTTCTCTCTCTTTTGATCTCTCTCGATTGTTCATCATCTTCTTCAGTTCGTCCATTATATCTTTCCTCTAGTTTGTGACTCCAAGGAATGAGCCGTAAAAAACCACCGCAGCCCTATTTCTCCTGTCAACAAATATATATAAAAAGAACCCTTCAACCACAATTAAGACTTTGTCTAGTGTCTTGAATTTTTTTTGACAAGGGAAAAGGATTGTTCATGATCAAACCTGGGACAGGAGTCTTGATATCATTTCTCTTGTCACTACACTTGTGGTTTATCCAGTTTCTTGAATGTACCTTCACTGGTTTTGATTATCTTGCATCTTTACAATTGCTAGGCTGTTTTTTTTTTTGCTTCTATGTTTTAAAGTGTGTTTAATTATGCAGATGACAGTTTATGCGAATGAGGTATCGGTTTTAATGCCCGGTGAAGAAGCTCCTACTTTCATTGCACATCCTGCTCCGGTGCCGTGTCCGCCAGACCACACCTTGAAGCCTCTGCATCAACTCAACCAAAGCGTTGGCGTGTCTTCAAGCTTAAGCTGAAGCTACAACTGAAGTATGACATGAAAACAAAGAACCAGGGTTTTTGTACATTTGCATTTGAGTTTAACTGAAAACTGTGTACGCAACATTTTTTTTTCATTTAATGTCTAATATCTCAATTTGTTATCGTTTTAAAGTGGACTCATCAACTCATTAATTCTGTGATACGTAACATATAATTTAATTATATTTCATCAAGATAGTTTGGTTTTAAAAAATAGATGTTATTTTCATTTTTAAAAGAATAGAAAATATTGAAGAAAATTTGTTTGGTTGCAAAACTAAAAAAATGTTTTTTTTCAAATAAAAACAAATTTGAGTAAAAATTTAAAAACATTTAAAAAATATTTTTAGTATTTTCATTAAAAAAAATAAAATTAAAAAAATCAAAATTAAAAAAATCAAAATTTGAGATTTTATTTATTTATTTATTTATTACGTAAAGGTTAACTATTACAGCTCATGTTTGCCCAAGGGCATTACACTCTAAAAGAATTAGTGGGACGATTTCTTCTGGGAGATCAACAAACACTTTGCATTCTCTTACTTCAGCTTTCCTTATTTTTTCCATTTAAAAAAAATTCAAACATTTAATGCAAAATTCTTGTTATAAGGATTTGACTTCGTTGAGAATGCAAAATTCTCTCTAAAAAAGAAGAAGAATAATGGTCAAAGTAACTATTCAATCCAACATTAGGAATCTTTTTGCTCTAAAATAAAATATTAGAAAGCCAAAATGTTTTAAAAATGGGAGCCAAAATGAAAATTTTAACATTATACCTTTTCTTAATTCCATCAAAATATATGCTCATGTTTATAACTTCTTTTTTTTGGTAAGCCAAGCAGAATTTAAGCTTGCTTAATGAGGTTTTGGTAGTTTATCGGTATATCCATGAAAACAGTTGTATAATACAAAGTCGAAGGAGCACATCCTCGTAAAGAGGCTTAATAGCCCAATGTAAAGAAGAAACTTGTATTGTACTTTGGGGACAAAAAACAAACCTTCATAAAAAACCATTGATGCTAAAAATGAATGCTTATCCAAGTAAAACCTAAACCTTGATCATAATTCATAAAACATCAAATTGTAGCTTTTATATATTTACAACAATAGCATATACAATACAAACTTCAATCAGAATTGGTGTCATACTGCAACAATTAGAGCACCAAATCACTGGCTGCCACCCCCCAACCAATTTATCAGCCGAAGCAAGTTCATGATAGCCAAAGAAAAACAATAACATAGGTATGAAGAAAAAAAAACGAGTTATGAAGAAGCAGCACGATCAGATTCAATCATAGATTTGATGTAGAACTCTCCGGCCTTGTAAGATGACCCGACCATGGGACCAGACGCCACATCGAAATCCCAGCACATTCACACTTTTTTAGTAAGTGTTAACTATTATTACATCTTCAATTGCTAATTCAATATTCTGGCAAAAAATAAAGAACAATGCTATAGCAAGTTATCGACGTCATAATTCATAAACTAATAAGCATTACATCATATTATATGCATGATATATAAAATAATATCCTATGAATGGATCAGCTTATGATTAATTAATAAAAAAAATTATATTCATTTAAGAAAAGAAACTTAAGGATCGGACGAATATGATGTATAAACTAATTAAGACTGCAAAAGCAAAGCAAACAATTAGCATGATCCCAATCAATGACTTTCCTTTGCATGTTGCATGGCTATAGTATTTGCTGCCACAGCTCTTTGGAGAAACTGCAGCCTAGGAAACACTGGGTTGTTAGTAATATAAAAGGTAAATCCTTGATCAATATTATCCTCAAGTTCGTATGGAATGCCTTCATTTACATTATATGGAGAGAAAGAAGCAATAGATTGTCAGCCATTCTATGGAGGAACCACCACAACAGCAATGCAAAGTAAAGAGAACAGTGTCCATGAGATTATGGTGTCTTAGAAAAGCTGTGGCTGACTCTGTAAATTCAGCTTTGTCTAATGCCTGGGAGCTAAACTTTGGCATTTTTTAATCTTAGTATTGTTGTTTTCATGTAGCAGCATTTCTGCTTCTATTGGATAAGAAATTTCAACTGTCAGCTCCAATCATGAATGGCTAAGGTGTTTTAAAAGGGGAAAAAAAAAAAGATGAGATGAATATAGTTTGCAAGGCTAGTATTGGCAAGTCTATTGTCATCTATTCTATCATTTTCTTTTCTAAGTTTTAGATCCCTTTCCGCAAAAAGCACTTTAGAACTATAGGTGAAAGCAACTTAACAAGATCCGCTGAAAGAGACTTTTTCTCAACAAACAATTTTTGTCAACTAAAACAAAAGCACACTACCAAAGTTTATCAGAAGAAGCTAGATAAGATAAATTGGTGAGGCATTCAATCAATATAAGGAGATATGTCGGCGTAATTAATGAAGAAAACTATAAGTGTATAAGTTCTAGAATAAAACATCACCGCATACCATTTCCATGACAATGGCTCGATATTTTTCAAAGGCTTCAGGTGTAATGTATTCTGATACGGGCATGTGGCGCTTTGATTGTCTCATATACTGACCGAACGTCATCACATCAACACCTGCTGCTCTAACCTTCTCCATTGTTTTCACAACCTGATCAGGTGTTTCTCCACATCCTAACATTATTGAAGTTTTGGCAAGTGTTCCAGAAGGAGCGTACTCTTTGGCCATCATTAGAACATCCAAAGATTACTTAAAATTAGCACGGTGATCACGCACAGCCCTTTGAAGTTCTTCAACAGTCTCAATATTATGAGCAAAGACATCCAACCCAGATTTTGCAACTCTCTCTACACAGCCGACATCTCCCCAGAAATCAGGAACTAAACAACGAAAAAATAGTGCAGGCAATATCAGCTAAAATGTAATAACTCAAATTAGATGAGAAATTCTGAAGATGCAAATAAGCAAGAACAGCCCCTTATTATGCAATTCTGATAAACTCAAACAAGATTTCAACTGATAAATTCAAACAAGGATTTTACTTCTCTAAGGCCATTTACTATCTATATATAAAAGGTGCAAAGTTCAACCTTGGATGTCAGGACATGCCAATAAATCAAAGATTAAGTAAAGTTCATAAGGTAATTGGTACCCAAGGCTTCTATAAGCATTTTAGGCTTCAAAGTTTTCAACTTCTCAAACGTTTCCGCAAAATGCCCACTTCCTTGATCAGGCAAATCATCCCGGTCAACGCTCGTATCACCACGTAATCCAACCTCCGCAAAATTCCTCGGTTCATCGGGATCTGGTGGAGGCGGCGTTCGCGATGTCTTGACGTTGCAAAACCTGGAATACCGCGAACAGTAAAATTTGAACTTAATTGTTTGCTACATATGCATATCGTTTTTTTCAATTAATCTGGAGTATCTGTTCAAAATAATGCTCAACAATTTGATATTAAACCTCACAACGTTGACGTTCATAGTGCTTGAACGAGACCTCAAGAAATAATAACAACGTTGACGTTCTTACAGGTATCACCCAATATCATTATGGTGGCAGTGGCGGTACCAGTCTCGCCACCGGCCCAGCAGTCGCCGAGATTGGGGCATCGAGCTTCTTCGCAGACAGTGTGGAGCTTTAGTTCCCTTAATTTGGTTTTAATCTGGACGTATTTTTCGCCACCGGGAATGGATTCCCTCGTCCATTTGCGCTTGGGGAGCGGTTTTTTCTTGGTCCCGAATTCGACGGAATAGAGGTTATTGCTTTGGAGACCAACGAAATCGGAGAGGGTCGGAGATTCAGCGGCGAGTCTGGCCCGGAGAGCAGCGAGGGTGGGTGAATCGATTGTGGAAGAGAATGGTCTTAAATTTGTGGCGGATGTTAGGGTGCGAACTAAAGACTCAGAGCGAGTTTACAACATTTTCTCCTGCTCTAGTTTTATTTACAGCTTCTCTTTTCTGTTATTGTTCGTGGATGAAACAAACAAATAAACAACTGGAAAGAGATGACGGGTGAATTATGGGTGGATGTGATTAGGATTGAATAAAATTTAATTCGATATGAAAAAAATTACCTTTTGAACTTTACTTAATCTTTGATTTATTGGCATGTATATGGATTCAATTCATTGCTTGTATATAGTAGAAGAACTTGATAACAAAGTTTAACCTTTATTTTTAAAAAAATTAAAAGCAGCCTAACAACTAAAAAACAAAGTGAATTGGGCCTGAACTAAAAGTTGAGTCAAGCCCATTAGAATCCGTACCGACGTTGGCGTTGCGGCTTTAGCTTTACTGAATCCTCTTGCTTTCATTTTACTTCCTTCTTCTCCTTCAATTTTCTTGAAGTCCCGTCTTTTTAACTATCTTTATCGCCAAACATTGCTTTATTCTCAGCGTCTCAAATTCAGATCTGCATCTAATTGTGTTAGTGTCAGTAGTTCCATTCTTGAGATTCGATGAGTCACTTCGATTCCAACCCTTTCGCGGAGGACGAGGTCAATCCTTTCTCGGTAAGTTTCTTTTTTCACATATTCGTATCCCACTTTTTTCATAACATGTCAGTGATTTGCACATTGTTTTGTTTTCTCCATGTGAGATTTGATCTGTAGGTTTTCTTGACTTGGATGACTGATTAGCTAAATTGCTATATCTGTTTCATTTCTGCTGCCGATTCGATTTTTTTTTTTATGTTAGAATTAATTCATTTTAAGTAACTGTGTCATAATGTATCTATAGTAACTGTGTTCATGTATTTTCACTCTTCATTTTTGTGAATGTAAAGCTTCGAAGTGAAAGACTAAAACATGTGATGATGTGAATTCATTTTACTTGTTTTTCTTAAGCTTGAACATTTTTTAGCGGTAATATTAGTGATTTAAGTTTTAACTTGTGCTTGATGAGTTATTTTTTTGAAGCTCTCATTTACTGTTTTTGCTTAGAATGATATGTATGATTTCATTTTGTTTATCGCAGGATCCAGTAGTTAGGAAAGGATCAGGGCAATCAAATTTTGGTGGAGGTGCCTTTTATACTACTGTAAGAGCTATTTTTCGTGCAATTGGGTGGTTACCTGTAACCCTTGACCCGACCTATGCGTTTCGACTAAGTCTAGTGGATCACTTTATGATTATTAAAGACATTTTCCGAAACCGTTATTCCATCAATATAAAATCACATTATAAATAACATGAAATTATAAACAAATTATACTATCAAAATCCAACTCGTAAATATAATACCAATAAATAATAATTAAATTTAAAACATGTCTTCAAATTCAAAATCACAATAAACTGAGCAGTAATAGCAAAATAGTCATCATTATAAAATCCGATATTTTAAAATAAGATCCATGTCACCAAAATAAAGTCAACTTGCAAGATAAAAACATTACAATCTGATTTACTTCAAGAGATATGTTGATCCTCCAAGTGCTCGAACCGAGGTATCTAACCAACAGTATCTGAAAGGGAAAAAACATTTTCGAAAGGTGAGCTAGGCTCAGTGTGTCTCAACATTTCCATAAAATCACAATAGGTACATTAAACAAATCATAGTCCAGTAAATCTCACAAATTCATAAAAGAGTTTAACTTTTGAAAATCATAGTTTAAACCCTTTTCTGGTACACCATCAATAGTTCCCAAAATTATTTTCCATATAGCTTACTTTATGCACATAACAAAAAGAAAGCCGACTTAAGGATAGGCTATGAAGCTTGTATCCTTAAGCCCAAGTCAATAAGTCCATATAGCTTACCCTAAGCACACAGCAAAGGAAAGCCGACCTAATGAAACATCTTGGGGTCCTCAAGAGTCACATTAGGCCCAATTAGCTTGATCAGAGCTATTCCATCGTAATTCAATTCCAAAATTCAATTGCACCGTGACATAAATTCCATAAATCCAAAAACATGGTAATCATATACCATTTCAAGACAAAAATTAGATCGTAACCATATTCCATAAATTGTCACATTAAATTAGTGCATCCATAAAACAATAACCAATGAATTCGGTGTACCACATATTAAAACTGTTGAGTTAATCGAATGACGAAATTGGCCAAGAGGGGGGTGAATTGGCAATAAAAATTTTGTGGAAGCTTTTGCAGAAAATTGAAAGTAATTGCACAGCGATTTACAGTGGTTCGACTTTCTCAAACAAAGTCTACGTCCACTACCTTAGCTATCCACACTAAGGATTTTCCAACAAATTCACTAATTTGTTCTTTCTTTTGAGGCCAAAGAGATAACCTTACAATTCCCTCAAGTATACCCCAACTCTTGAGAACACTCTTTTCTCAAAGAGAAGATTACAAATTTGCAAACTTACAAGAAAACCTCACAAGGTAAGATGTTTGCACAATTCTAGAACAAAGAAAAGAACACTCAAAGATGAATACAACTGAGCACAAAAAGTGTTCTTGAAAGCAAAATGAATATTGAATGAAAATGGGCTTGAAATGCTCAAACTTGAGGTTTGATGCTTTCTCTTTGATTCTCTCTTGATTCTAGTTGCTTGATGTTTCTTGTTGTTGATCAATGGCTTCTAAGCTTGCTTAAATACACCTTGGATCACTTCTGAACGTTGGGGATAATTAGAGAAGATATTATAGCCGTTTTAGTGTGAAAACATTTAATAAAACAGCTTGGACAGTGGGGGGAATCGGTTCCCTCTCATAGGGAATCGTTCCCTAAGTGTAAAATTCAAATATTTCGACCGTTGAACAAGGGGGAATCGTACCCCCTTGGGGGGAATCGGTTCCCTCCGAGCATTCTGGAAATCTCGGAGCCAAAACATTCAGGGGGGAATCGGTTCCTCCTATGGGGGGGAATCGGTTCCCTCTGAGTATTCTGGAATTTTTGGCTTTGAATTGGTTCGAAATACTTTAAAATATTTTGAAATTATTTATGATTAAAACTTAATTTTACACTTAAGTAAGGATCAAAAAATGATTTTTGAAATATTTGGAGTAATGTTTTGATATTCGAATAGTTATATCGAATATACTTAGAAAATCATTTGGAAAATCTTAAAATTCATTTAACTTAATTTGTTATATCGAAATATTAAAATGTTTCAACAATCTCCCCCTTTTTGATATAACAAAATTTAAGATTTTTGAAATCAAGTTTTGAAATTACTCCCCCTTACTTTAACACTTCTTCAATTTATCATGTAAAACATTAAACACTTATTCTTCTCCCCCTTTTGTTAAATCAAAAAGACATTGTAAAACAGGTTTTGAAAATCATTTAGCCAATTGATTTATTAATTATAAGCTTAAGCTGCTAAGATCACAATCAAAAGAGAGGTTAGCCATTAGTTTCAGAAATCAATATTCATAAATAAGTGTATGGCAAAATTGGTCATATTGCTAATGATAATGTAAATAATGCAGAAATGTATAAAACACACAATATAAGTCCACACCATTCATATATCCAAATCCACAAATCAAACAAATCAAAATGTTGAAACAATATTCATTTTGTTCAAAGTTTTAAAGCTAAACATAAAATCAAGCATCCGGATCGGTAGGAGGAAAACGGGCTCGCATAGCGGCCATCTCGTGTGTGAGTTCATTTATACGAGCGTTGGTTGATTCATTGTTTGCACGCATCTCCCAAAGAATCTCTAATTGTGAGCTCCCTTGTGGATAAATGAGACTCTATAGAGGAAAAAACGCGAGTCCATGGTAGCGTATCGGAAATCGAATGTCTCCATAAAGGATTGAAATATGGAGGCATTTGATGCGTTTGTTGTGCTTGCTCCTCGGGCTGCTCTTCGGGTAGTTCAGGTTCTTCTTCAGCTTCATCAATATCCCTCATTAATTGGTCAAACTCGGGATCTTCGTCAGCTTCGGGTGGCTTGTGAAGAGCTAGCTCCCGGAGTAGAAGAACGAACCCATTCACCGGTTTCTTTGTCCTTACCCATCCCGCTCTCGTTAAGGAAAGAAGATTTATTTGTTTCTTAAGAGGAAAAACGGCATCTAGACCGACTCTAAGCCCAGCTTTGGAAAACAGATTACTCAAAAAGCAACCGTAAACTAGAGATGAACAGTGTTTCTTGTTAGGAACAGATTTACGGTTTCAACAATTTCAGCAAAAATAATCTGAGTAGGTTAATTTTAATACGGTTTTCGAAACAATGTAACCACCAAAGATCCAAAGCTCTAAGAGTAGAATAACGACCTCCGGATGGTCGAAACCACCAAGAAATCATTAGATGAAGAAACGCTCATGTAGGTCTAAGACACTCGCACTATCTCTTCTTTTATAACGAGAACCTAAGATTTGTTTTTTCATTCGAAATACCATCATTATCTAATCCAAAAGTATTGGCTATATATGCCGGGTCAATATATAAGAATTGTCCTAGAAGGTAGGAACGAATTCCTATGGTTTCGGTTTCAGCTTGGTTTTTAACACTACGACATTAGAGTAGAATATACACAGTTGATGGTAAACGATGGGTTCAAGATCAAATAGTTTATCAATTTCCATTCTTGTAAAATGGGAAGATATTTAAAATTGATAGCTAACATAGCTTGACGAGAAGGAATACGTTCTTCCCAGATTTTGTAAGAATCGAAATACTGATAATACCAATATCGGTGATTTCTAGACCCAGGATGATTGAAACACGAATTTTGGATAGTCAAGTTAGGATCAGTGGATTGGGATTAGAATTGGAATAGAATGAGGATTTGGAGGTGGATTTGGTTGACGACTGGAACGACTAGATGAAGACCTAGGACGTTTAGGATTTGACATGTGAAGGAAATCGGAATAGATATAATAACCTGCAATTTTAAAACAAGTGTATGCAATTCAATTAATCCCAAACTCAAATGAGTCCTCAATATTTCAAGATTCTCTAAATCAATCCTAATGGGCAAAGTTTTTGAAAAACTTTTGAAAAATATGGTTTGAGAAACAATATATGTATGGTTTTTCATAACAACAATATATTTTGATCAAACACAATAATTTGAAAATAACAATTTTTTTTTATTATTTCGAAATTTTTTTTTTAAAAAAAAAATTTGAAAAATTCTTGTGTCTTTGATGAAATTAGTTGTAACATCTAGTTTCTAATCACTAATAATCAATGCCCGATCACTATTTCAACCTAGAACTATTGAAACTAATCCTATGTTCAAAAATAATGAAAAAAAAAAGAGTTTAGAAAAATTTACCTTGAAATATGAAGATTGAGGGGATTTAGATGTTGTTTGCACGATTTTAATGATTCCAGGTTTGGAAGATGATTTATGAAGCAAATTCCGATTAATATGTTGATTTGAGGCAAAAATGGAGATTTAGGGGTTTAGAGGGTGAGAACGGCGAAGAGAGAGAGGAAGAGGGTTTTTGGAGAGTTTGGGGTTATTCTGCCCGATTTTAGCAGAACCCCAGGGGTATCGATTCCCTGTGGGGGGAATCGGTTCCCCTTCAAAAGGGGAATCGGTTCCCTCATGGGGGGGATCGATTCCCTCTGCACCAAAATGCTAAAATCTTATGGTCGGAACACCCGATTCATCAAATCCATGAAAGTTGCAGGAGCGTTCGTCAAACCAAAAGGCATCACTAAAAATTATAATGACCATATCTAGTGCGAATGGCCGTTTTTGCAACATCAGATCCTTTAACTTTCAATTGATAATACCCCGAACAAAGATCAATTTTAGAGAATATAGTAGCTCCTCGCAATTGATCAAATAAGTCATCAATCCTGGGTAGTGGGTATTTCTTGACCGTCATCTTGTTCAATTTCCGATAGTCAATACATAATCTTAGCGACCCATCCTTCTTTTTCACGAACAGAACTGGAGCTCCCCATGGTGAAGTACTATGTCGGATAAATCCTCGATCGAATAATTCTTGCAATTGGACTTTCTCCTTAAGTTCCTTTGGAGCCATACGATAAGGTGCCATAGAAATAGGTGAAGATCCCGGATAAGTCTCAATCTCGAACTCTACCTCTCTATCAGGAGGTAACCCAGGCAACTCCTCCGGAAAAAAAACATCAGGAA